GCTGTCGCACATGTGCTGCAAGATCACCTGGCAAATCGTATTCTCGTTCCCGTAGCCGCAGGGGTGCTGCAGGGCCCACTCGACGCAGAGCTCGGAGCCCGCGTCATAGATCATCGCGCCCTCCACCGCGCTGGGCTGGGCCTCGTCATAATCTATGTTGCCGATCCGGCACGCCGGCTGACAGCTGTAGCCGATGTGGTGCCCGCCGTCCTTGCTCTGGGAGTCGAAGGGGCGCTGGCTGTTGGCGACGGTGCCGATCTGCTCCGAGAGCGTGTTGTTCCCCATATCCTAAGATGGGGTTCTTGTTATTACTTGGACGCCTCCTACTCTTCCTCCTCCCTCCTCTTTTCTCCTCCCCTCCTCTTTTCTCCTCCTCTTTTCTCCTCCCTACTCTTCCTCCTCTTTACTCGATCTGCTCCGAGAGCGTGTTGTTGGGGCCTCGCCACGTGTGCTGGTGCGCGAACCCCCAGGCGGCGCGCGCCCACACGACGACGGAGGTCGCGCGGGCGCGGGGCGGGGCGGGGGCCCGCGCCCCACCCCCGCAGCGGCGCCCCGCGGGCAGGGGCATGCGCGTAGGAGGCAGGGGGGGGGGCATGCGCGCAGGGAGAAGGGGGCATTGTCGCGATGCCGATTTGGGCCACCATATCCTGCTCCTGCTCCTGCTCCTCCTCCTCCTCCTCCTCCTCCTCCTCCTCCTCCTCCTCATCCTCCTGCTCCTCCTCCTTCCTCCTGCTCCTCCTGCTACTCCTCCTCCTCCTCTTCCTCCTCCTCCTCCTCCTGCTGCTCCTCCTCCTCCTCCTCCTCCTCCTCCTCCTCCTCCTCATGCTCCTCCTCCTCCTCCTCCATCTGCACCTCCTTCTCCTGCTCCACCTCCCCTTCCCCTCAATGTCCCACCACTGAACCCCGGAACTGGTTCGCCTGAGCTGGGACGGTCAACAACCTTGCACCCGGTCAGATTCCTCTAGCGTTGTTTTGCAGAAAAGCCCAGAGAGGCCTCAGAGGAGGATGGAGTACCGACTGCTACCAACAGCCTCCAGAAGAGACGGGAGCAACATGAAATCTACAGGACAAATGGGAACACGCGAAGAAGGGGCCGCCTGACCCATAAACTAGATGGGATTGTTTGTGCCGAACGCTCCTGCGATACTATATATCCGCCGGCCCCCTTGTGGGGCCACCAGGCTGTAGGCGCGAGGTTCGCAGTTTCCTGTACCAGTTGTAGCTTGTAGTTTCCAGTGTTACAGTTCTGCTTCTTGCTGGTAACTGTAACTCATTGACTCATTGCTGGTTACTGTAACTAGTTGATTGACCGCGCGAGGGGGGGGGAGGCCCAAACGGGATTTTTAGCACCCCCTGGGCGCGTTGTCTGAATTGCTGGGGGGGCTCGAAATCCACACCCCTCACGCAGATCCGCGGGGTCAGGGTCCAAAAACACAGGGATTTGCCACATTTCTGAAATTCGGTGCCACCCCTCATGCAGATCCGCGGGGTCAGGGTCCAAAAACACACGGGATTTGCCACATTTCTGAAATTCGGTGCCACCCCTCACGCAGATCCGCGGGGTCAGGGTCCAAAAACACAAGGGGATTTGCCACATTTCTGAAATTCGGTGCCACCCCTCACGCAGATCCGCGGGGTCAGGGTCCAAAAACACACGGGATTTGCCACATTTCTGAAATTCGGTGCCACCCCTCACGCAGATCCGCGGGGTCAGGGTCCAAAAACACATGGGATTTGCCACATTTCTGAAATTCGGTGCCACCCCTCACGCAGATCCGCGGGGTCAGGGTCCAAAAACACATGGGATTTGCCACATTTCTGAAATTCGGTGCCACCCCTCACGCAGATCCGCGGGGTCAGGGTCCAAAAACACATGGGATTTGCCACATTTCTGAAATTCGGTGCCACCCCTCACGCAGATCCGCGGGGTCAGGGTCCAAAAACACAAGGGATTTGCCACATTTCTGAAATTCGGTGCCACCCCTCACGCAGATCCGCGGGGTCAGGGTCCAAAAACACAAGGGATTTGCCACATTTCTGAAATTCGGTGCCACCCTTCACGCACATCCATCGCAAGGCGTGGTAACCCAAACTGCGAGAACTCCCTCGGCCCTTTAATCGCAAGGTGTGGTAACCAAGCCCGTAAACCATACACGTCTTACCAATCGCCAGGTGTGGTAACCCCTCTTGTGATCAGTTGGTTTTGCTGATTGCGAATCGGCTTCGCATGAAGTTTCGATACTGCTTCACGACAGCGCCAAGACCTCATGACTTAGCTCTTCCATGGCCCATTCTCCGAGGGAGGGGGCCGGCGGCAGGGGGCGAAGCCCTTACGGATAACGGACGGCTGGACTTGGAGCCACAGTGAGAGCATAGTATCAACCTGGCTTCTCAAAAACATCTTTCGATGAAAATCTCGTGCTTCTCACATCCGCCAGCGTGTCCTGAACATGTAATGGAATGACCCACGGTTCATGATTAATTACAAAGTTTTGACCACCCGGGGGCCGGACGCCTGGCGCAGGGGCCGGACGCCTGGCGCCAGGACCGTGGGATTCTCCGGGGGCCGGACGCTTCGCGCCGGGGCTCACCCGAAGAGAAGTTATCGAAGACAGTGCGCTTGTCAAGGCCTTCGGCCTTGGAAGGTGCGCCAGGCCAAGTGCGCGCGACCTTTCCCGCCCAACACGGCCCCAGGATTCCCGAGAGAGGCCTCGAAACGGGCGCCCAGGAGGCCCCTCAAGAGGCCCCCGAAAGGAGACCTCGAGGGGACTCTGGGCACACTGGTGGGATGGGCTGAAGGCCACTAGATCCTGGCCGGAGGCTGCTAGATCAGAGAAGGAAGAAAACGCACCGAGCACAGTAACCCCGTTCCCCGGATAATAAAGAGTACCCCTCCACAACTTGGGCCTCCGGCGGCACGATCCAGACACCCCTGGAACGCTCTCGGCGTCGGCGAGGCGCAGCTGCTGCTGAATGCATCCTGGGGCAGGAAAGCCTCCATGAACCAAAGGAGCGTCCAAAAACCTCGTCCTCCCGCCAGGTGCTTGCGCACAGGCTCCGCGTCCCGGTCAGGGGTATAGGGTCATCGGTCAAGACAGGGACAAGACACTTCTGGTTCAGGCCTGCACTTGACACTCAGACGCCCGTCGTTCACGAACCTTCTTCTCTGATGCACTAGTACCCACCTCGCGTTCTACTGTCACGCTTTCCACTCCTTCTGTGTCTCGCTCATTCCGCCTACGGTAGTCCTCGCAAGTGAGGGCATACTCCACTGAAGAGTAGCACCGTCTCGAACGAGACATCAAACGGGACACTCGCTCCCTACTGGCCCGTGCTCACTCCGAAAGGTCCGTCGTCGCAAGCGGAAGAAGTTGGCTGCCAAAAATGATCGCCAGAATTGGTTCGCCTGAACAGGCAATTCACCAATCTGACGTTACAAGCAGCCAGGGCACATCGGGAGATCTTATCCAACTCGGAGAACGCTCGAATGCATCTACAGTAGGAAAGCCTGTCACTGCAAACCTGCAATAATGTATGCACCATCACCGCGACAATAGCCACCGTGAGACGAGGAAACGCAGTAGCTACCCCTCCCCTCCATCTTCTCCCCTTCGCACAATCCCACCCCCCTCCCCCTCCGTCTCCCTCTGCCTCCCTCCAGCTCCCTCCTCTCCCTCCCCATCCTCCTCCTCCGCCTCCTCCTCCTCCTTCCTCCTTCCTCCTTCCTCCTCCTCCTCCTCCTCCTCATTCTCCTCCTCCTCCTCCTCCTCCTCCTCCTCCTCCTCCTCCTCCTCCTCCTCCTCCTCCCCACCCACACGCCCACGAGCTCTTCTAACAGACATGCACGCTTCCCCATTCCCACAAAAACGCCCAACACTGGCCCCAGGAACCCTCCTGGGCACCATCCCGACTAGCCCTCCGAGCCTCGTATGATGACACGAGAAGCGACGCAAGTTGTATAGGAGGCTTCAGCTTAGCTCACCCTTGCTGCGACTAATTCGCCGTAACTTCGAGTTCGACTGAAGCGTCTAACCGAGGTGAAAGCCTGGTGCTGGTGGCCGCCGAGGAGTGGACTCTTCCGTATGTTCTTACCTCCTCGCTTCACATCACTTACAGCGGCCGTGGTGGGAAGAGACGATCCTTGAGTCCGACCTCTTCAAATGGTGGGAGACTCTGCCGGCAGTGGCACTATCTCGTGTTCATCATGCAGGCCTGGTGCACTTGCCCATTGGCTGTGGCCAATCAAATCTGTACACCCACATGGAGGGGGGGGGGGGTAAAACCGGTGATCTTTACAGAGGTTCTCTGTGGTCCTTGCGGCCGTGTGGCGGGGCCTCTCTGGATCGGCGCCTTCACTCAAGCTGGACGCGCGACGCATCCGAGTGGCATTGCGGCCAGCAGGCCGAACCCCATGGCGCCCACCCCTGCGGGGGCGGGCGCGGGGGTCGTCGGGGTCTCCCGGCCTGCGCTCCGCCATCGCCACCTTGCGGCCGCCGTGCGCTTCGACCTCGTCTTGTGTAAGCGTCGGGCTCCTCCTCTCTTGTCCGACGCGCATCCTGTCTTCAGCGCGAGGGCCCGGGTCATGCTGGCCGCGCTGGGGCGCAAGAGCTCTCCGAGCCGCGCCGGCAGGCGGCCACGCGGGGAGGGGGGGGGGGGGCGACGGAGCAACGCAGCGCACACCCTCCGCCCCCCCCCACGAGAGAGAAGGGCCGCCGCGGCGACGCCCCGGGGCCGCGGGCCTCCCCCGCGGCCTCCGTCACTCGGGGATGGACAGACCTCCCTTTAGTAAAACGTGGTTTAGTGAAAACGACCTGAGGCCCAAACCTGGCGGGCGCAGGCCTGGAAAATAACGGCCACGGCGCCCTCTCGAGAACCGAAAACGGACAATTCACTAATCGACGTGTCACTGTTGGGGGTTCTGTCCACCCCCGAGTCACCGTGGGCCCGCGGGCCCCGCGCTCATCCCTGCCCAGCGCCTCCGCGGCACCCGCCCACCCCACCAGCACGAAGCGCGTCACGGACTTGAGGCAACCGATCGCCTCGCGGGCGGCACGGCGGACGAGGGCGAGCGGAGCGGGAAGAGGAGCCAGGAGGTGGGGAGAGGGGAGAGGCGGGGGGAAGGGAGGGAGAAGCGAGGCAGGATGGAGCAGGAGAGGGTGGAGAGGAGAGGATAGAGAGAGATCCCCCTCCCCGTACCCTCCCCCCTCCACCTGACCCTCGCCCCTCTCGTCTTCCCGCTTCTTCACCCTCCCTGCCACTCCCTTCCCCTCGCCCCACCTGACCTTCGCCAGCCCTGGGAGCCGAAAGAGGAGGCTGGCAAACCGCCATACGCGGGACGGGGGCGGCACCGGCGGTAGCCGCGTGATGGGGTGGCCGTTGAGGTCCAGGCACCGAAGCCCATGCCTGGCTCGAGCGGGCAGCTGCCACTAGCAGGTCTCTCCTCGATTTCGAGCGAGAAAGGAGGCAAGGAGCAGGGAAGCAAGAGGAACAACACCTTACATCAAAGCGTCCCCACACTCCGAAAGTAGAGAATGGAAAGGGGAGGGAGGAAGGGAGGGAGGGAGAGGAGAGGGAGGAGGAACGGGCCAGTGGCGTGGTATCAAAAACCCGGCCTGCCTCAATCGTGGCTGAACCACAAAGCCCGAGACACAGATGGAACTGCCCGCGATTTCACCGTAGAATGGGTTGGCGAAAGGGAGCGACTAGGACACAGAAGGAAGAAGGGAGAAGCGAGAGGGCTTCCCTCTGGCTCCCCCTGCTCAGCCTCCTGCCTCCTCGTGCCCCTCCCTATCCTCTATCATCCGCCTCCTCCTCCTCCTCCTCCTCTTCCTCCTCCTCCTCCTCCTCCTCCTCCTCCTCCTCCTCCTCCTCCTCCTCCTCCTCCTCCTCCTCCTCCTCCTCCTCCTCCTCCTCCTCCTCCTCCTCCTCCTCCTCCTCCTCCTCCTCCTCCTCTCCCCCTCCTCCTCCTCCTCCTCCTCCTCCTCCTCCTCCTCCTTCTCCTCCTCCTTCTCCTCCTCCTCCTCCTCCTCCTCCTCCTCCCCCTGTCCTCCTCCTCCTCGTCTCCTCCTCCTCCTCCTCCTCCTCTCCTCCTCCTCCTCCTCTCCTCCTCCTCCGCTCCTCCTCCTATCCTCCTCCTCCTCCTATCCTCCTCCCTCCTCCTCCTCCTCCTCCTCCTCCTCCTCCTCCTCCTCCTCCTCCTCCTCCTCCTCCTCCTCCGCATCCGCATCCGCATCCGCATCCGCCTACTCCTCATCCCACCACAAACAATCAGCGTCAGCATCATCATCACCACCATCCTCTCCCGCATCTCTGATCATTACCACCACCACCACCAACACCACCACCACCACCACCACCGCCATTATAGCCATCAGTAGCATCATCATCATCTTCATCATCAGCAGCATCATCAGCAGCATCATCAGCAGCATCATCAGCATCATCAGCCTCATTATTATCATCGGCGGCATCAGCATCAGCATCAGCAGCATCATCATCATCACCATCATCTCAGTATTCCCATCATCATCAGCAGCTGCAGCAGCAGCTGCAGCAGCTGCAATCAGCATCATCATCACCATAATCAACAGCAGCATCTCACCATCTTCATCATCGTCTTCATCATCATAAGAATCATAATCATCATCATCATCATCATCATCATCAGCATCATCATCATCATCATCATCATCATCATCATCATCATCATCATCAGCATCATCATCATCATCATCATGAGCATCATGAGCATCATCATTGTCGTGGTCGTCGTCGTCGTCGTCGTCGTCATCACCATCATCATAAGCATCACCATCGTCTTGCCGTCGTCGCTGTCGTCATCATCATCACCACTACGATCCTCATCATCAGCAGCAGCATCGTCGTCGTCATCGTCATCATCGTCGTCATCACCACCATCAACATCGTCATCGTCATCGTCATCGTCATCATCAAAATCACCGTCAACCCGCTCCGCCTCCGCCTCCTCCTCATCATTATCGTCATCACCAACATCAGCATCAGCACCAGCATCATCGTCATCATCATCACCACCACCATCATCAGCAGCAGCATCATCATCCTCGTCTTCGTCCTCGTCCTCGCCCTCATCTTCATCGTCACCATCGCCTTCCTTCTCGTCATCCCCATCCAATTCGTCCTCGTACTCCTTGTCCTCGTCCTCCTCCTCCTCGACCAAATCATGTACCACATGATTACCACATGGCTTCGCCGACACATCTTGTCCGAGCCCCGTGCTGTACAGAGGTGGAGCAAGCCAAAAGGTTGGCAACTGGCCCAAGTGGATACCTCATTGGGCCCATCCAGTCTTGCTGGGGATGTTGCGGATGCCCAAGAAGCCTCATGGTCGGAAGTCTGGGATGGGTCGTCCGAGTCCCTGGATGTGGGGTAGTATAGTTGGTAGTGATGTTAGGTTACAAGGTGATGTTCGGGACCTCCTGGAACGTGAACCTCGGCCACCGCCTCCCACTACGGCAGAACTACGCCATGCTGCTAGGCAATCCCCTTAGAAACAAAACGTGGGCTCCGACGTCTTCGGGCCGCGTCACTGGGCTTAGGTCGGGCATGTCCTCCTACAGGCGGATGTTGGACGAAAAATCAAACATTGGCAAAAAATATCCTAAAATGTTCAAAAAGTGTCCAAAAATCGTTCCCCAATCTTTTTGTTGACTAGTTTCGAATATTCTTCCTGTAGAGGGACATCCCCGGCTAAACACTGGGCGCGACTTTCAAATGCTGGGCACTCTGGGCTATCTGTGCGTGTTTACTTGACGTTTCTCTGCGAAACGTGGGGAGCCTGGCCGCACATGCTCGCTCACGTACACATCGTCTTGCGTTCCATGGAGTTGTCACCGTAGCAGCGTCACCGTCGATCTATCGGGCGCGGGGGAGGGCAAGGGTACGGTGGGCACGGACGTGGGCAAGTAAGTTGCAGAGGACATTTCTCGCGTTGGGTGCCCAGCGCTCCACGACGGACGTCGCCGCCAGAGTTTTAGTTGCCGCTGACTCTTCGGCCGCCAGCAGCCCCGATGATATGGCAACAGTGCACGCCTTGATTAACGTCGAGAGATGCTCTGATCGAGTGGCATATAAGCTTTTGATTGGGGCTGCTGTAGTGCACAATTTCCCAGGCCAGCTTATAATGCTAGCTGCACGCATGCAGATGAGCTCCAGGAGGCTTTCATGGGACGCACGTTCCTCCAAACGGGCCACTCGGGGACATTGCCAGGGTGCACGTTCGCCGTGTTCGCCCTGCAGCGCGTTATGCTCACCCCGTTCGACCCATTATGGGTCCATGCTGATCATGTTCCTCGGGCCACCGACTTGTACGCGGATGAGTTCACGATAGGAAGGAGGAGGAGGAGGAGGAGGAGGAGGAGGAGGAGGAGGAGGGGGAGAAATGCGAGGAGGATAAGGAGGAGTTCACCATAGGAGTGTCAGGGATGAAGTCGGTTGTTGGGGCAGCTGCGAAGGTCCTCGGGCTGGCAGTTCGTGCCAGGGTCTCCAACCGCCTCCAGCCGAACATGTAATGCGGGTAGCCTGCAGCCGGGCCCCCCTTGGGTCAGAGAGTTCGCAAGCAGCTCAAGGGCCCCGAGTTCCAGCACCAGCCTTCCTTAGAGATTACTGGGACTGTAAAACCCTCGGGGAGGCCCTTGAAGCACTCCAAGCTCCATTCTCGGGTCAGGATGCGTGCTCGGCTTGTTCCCCGACCGCAGTACGCTCGTCGAGCAGGGCCTGTTGTGCCTCGTTTTGCGCGGCAGGCTGTCTCTTCTGCAATGAGACACGGGCTCGGGGTTCACGGCGCGCCCCAAACCCTTGTCGCTTGGATGCGAGCAATTCTCAAGCGCGCGTATGAAGGGGCCCACAAACACACAAATAAATACACACTAATAAAAAGGTTCCCCACATTTTCCCATATTTTCTGGGTTTTTATCTTCCCCCCACTTCCCATACTTTCGCATATTTTCTGGGGGATCGACGATTAATTGTGTCTGTGTGTTTTTTCCCTCCTGAGCGCAACGTGCCCCAGACTCAGCTACCTCTGCCTGGCCGACGTCCTGCACGCAGGGTGCTCCCACCAGCGACCCCCGAGCTGGAGCGCGGGCAGCGCCCCCTTGCGCAGTGAGCCCTTCTCTGTGTCGTGATCGAAATACTGCCAGAAGGTACAGAGCAGAAGGCATATGACCAAAAATAGGGCATACCATGCTGCTGATCCATGGAGAATGGTTTCGGGCAAAACTGGCGCAGTGTTCTGCATTCCTACGCCCTTTCGAAGGTAACCCGAGAAGTTTGTGCGTCTGAGTGTGCGCCCATAATGTCTGCGTCTGGAGAATAACACCGAGCGACCCGGATCGGCGGCACTGGCCGAAGGCCACTACAATAGGGTATACCATGCTACTGATCCATGGAGAATGGTTTCGGGCAAAACTGGTGCAATGTTGAGATCACTTGGAGATCTGAGGCGGTCGTCGGCGCCCGCCTAGTGCATGGAAAACCGCTCTTGGGGATGCGCTTGGCCTGCGTAAGTCTGATCCGTCCACCGTACGTGACTTACATAGCTGGGAGCTCGGCGACTAGGAGGTGCAGGGAGTCTTGGGCAGTTCGACCGCTACCTGCTGATGATCAAGTCATGGCTCCCAGACAGCCCCTGAGGTACTGGATAGAACCTGTGCTGCGCCTCTTAGCTAAAGCCAGGATGAATGTTGCCGGCTTGGACGTCGAAGATGAACCTGACCCAGACGATGACGACGACAACGACGACGACGACCCCTCGAGACCCGAGAAGGCACCTTCATGGGTTTCCTTAGCCGAGGAAGCAGGGACCCTTAGGGCCATCGTCGCAGGCGGGATGTGGACACCCGCCCTTTTGAAGTTATGCCAGTATACTGATGACAGCTCGTGCCCAATGTGCTCGAGCACGCATTGCAATGCTCACCATCTCGCTTGGAAGTGCGCTGGAGATGGAAAAGTCACGGCGCGGCTTGACATCAGGAGTGGCGTGGCGATCCGAGGTTTCCCGACTTGTGAACCAGGCTCGTGGCTGTGGGCCGTGGCTTGTGCCCGCGCTCCTGCTTCCCACCGCTCCCTCAGCGTGATGATTCTGGAAGATGGATCGGCAAGTGTGGACAGGCTGACCGTATTTCGGGAACGGCCTTAAGGGTGTTGCCCAAGATTCTGAAAATCGTGTCGATCTTCTCGTTTACAGGGCCCTTCCAGGGCCAGTGCAAAGCTCCCCGGGGCCGAGCTGTTTGCGGTTCTCCAGGTGCTCCAGGTTGCAGCCCTTCTCCTGGACGTGTTTATGGATTGTCAAGGCTTTGTGGATGGCCTGTTGGCTGGCCCATTCTGAATGTTTGCCCCTCGGAGGGCCGATGTTGACATCTGGGAAATGATGTGAGCCAAAGTTCAGGATTTGTTGGAAGTATTTGGTGAAAGCCTCCAAGTCCATCATGTTCGTGCTCACAGGAGTGAACGTATTCCTTGTGAGAGGCAATCGATCGGCTGACGCTGGGGCCACGAAAGGAAGGGACCTCCACAGCGCTCCTAAGATTGCTTTCAAGGCGATGCGTATAGCTCATGAGTCGCCCTGCTCCATCTTAAAACACATGGTTCAGTGCCACAGTTTGCATGCTCAGGCTGGTCGGGCTCTTACCAAGCCTCGTACCAATCACCACGCGGCACGTGGCCGTCAAGCCACTGGTGTCGAGCATGATTGCGAAGCAGGCTTCAAGGACTTGCCAGGCCGATTGATCTGGCAATGTGTTTTGACGAGAAAGGAATGCGAATAGATCGCACCCGTAAGCAGCTGGAGCAGCAAGCGCGTCTCGCTCAATCGATCGAAGGGGGGGACCGCGTGGTCAGTGGATCAAGCGATCCCCTGGGGGTCCCTGAAGCCTGTGGGGGCGGTGGAGGATGGTGCTACCCACAGGAGAGGCGTGGGGCGCGGCCTCCACGAGGTGGTCCCAGTGGGGCCCGAGCGCGCTGTTCGTCCTCGCGTCACCTTCTCCTCCACCGTGGAGGGGCGGACTCAGGATGCAGTAAGTTTAGCTCAGGCCGTGCCAAGCTGTCCGATCGAGTCCTGCCTCTGCTGCTTCTTTGAACGGTGGTGCGATTATCCAGGATCGGGCTGGCCCAACCTTTCAGCCTAATGTGAAGAGGAGCGTGTCGGCCGTAATGACCGGCCGGCCCCTCCTGTCAGATACCACCATCCCGCTCGAGCCTGTCCCTGTGCGGGATTGTGCCCGCTGGGGCGGCCCGAGGACACAGCTTCCGGGTTTCCCCTGGTCACGTTCCTTCGTGTAATCGATGTGGTGTCTTCTCCACGGGGTCGGCTGGACATTTACTCATCGATTTTCAACCAAACGGGAACAGACGCCTGTCCGAACGTGCTGCTCACAACAGGCGACTGCTGTTGAACTCCCGGCACCCTGCCGACTAGGAGTGGCCTTGACGCCCGCCTCACACGTGCACCTGGGCCGCCCCTGGCTGGCGATCCCGAGATCTGGCGGAGACTTTGGAGAATCGAGCCCTTTCTCCGCCTTCTCCTCCTCCTCCTCCTCAGCCTCCTCCTCCTCCCTCCCCTCCTCCTCCTCCTCCTCCTCCTTCTCCTCCTCCTCCTCCTCCTCCTCCGCCTCCTCCTCCTCGTCCTCCTCCTCCTCCTCCTCCTCCTCCTCCTCCTGCCTCTTCTCGGCGCCCTGGGCCAAAACTCGTTCGTGTTTCTGTTTGGCGTCGTCGTCGGTGTGCGGCGTCGTTGCGAGAGAGGCGCGCGCGCGCCCCGCCCCGTCGACACCAGCAAGCATCGGCGACAGGCGTGCCGCGCATGCCGCCGCCGCCGCCGCCGCCCCCCACCAACGCCGCCTCCGTCTCTGCTGGAGCCTGCCCCGCGATCCCGCAGGGTGGGGGCGGCCTCCGTTTGCAGTTCGGGAGATGGGGTGGTCCCCGTCTCCCATCCAGCAGTGTCGGCCATCGCGCGGATCGGCGCGGCCGCTCCACAGCGCCGTATCCTCCTCATCCTCCTCCTTCTCCTCCTCCTCCTCCCCCTTCTCCTCCTCCTCCTCCTCCTCCTCATCATCATCCTCCTCCTCCTCCTCCCCCCCCTCCTCCTCCTCCTTGTCCTCGTCCTCCTTGCTGCCGTTCCCACCGCCAAAGGCCGGCTTGGGCCCGGCTGGGCGCAGGCGCAGGATGACGTCGGGCACCTCGGCCGAAGTGCCCCGCGCGGCGTAGCACAGAGCAGAGGGGGAGCGGGAGGGGAGGGCAAGGGAAGGAGGCAAGGGAGGGACGGGGAGGGGAATGCCTCAATGGGCCCCTCAAACAGATCCCAAAATGCAAAACGCCTCGCCTGGGGACATCGCTTCTCCTTTGGGGGTCGGCGGAAGGGCCTAAGCCACTTGAATAGAAGAGCACAACGCCAACGTGAAGATAAACTGTCGGAGGTCCGCGCCGATCCGAGAACTCCGTGCTGACCCCTGAAAGTTGTGGCTCGCGTCGTGTGCTGTGCCCCGAGGGAAGTTGAAGCCAGGAAGGGAAGGGCGCAAGGAAAAGCGACGGGAGGGGAGGGGGAAGGCGAGCGGAGCTGCGGAGGTGAGGCGAGGAGGGCGAAGGGAGGACAGGGCAGGACAGGCGACGACACCGCTCCACACGCAAGCGGCGAGCGCCTCCTGCAAGAGGACGGCAGCGGGGCAGGAGCCCCTCACAGGTGAGCACTCCGAGTTTCTTAATAAGCGTCGGGGGGGGGGGTCCTCCTCCTCCTCCTACCCCTCCTCCTCCTCCCCCTCCCCCTCCTCCTCTTCGTCCTCCTCCTCCGCCTCCTCCTCCTCCTCGTCCTCCTCCTCCTTCCCCCCTCCAACCTATGGTGGTGGTGGTGGAAAACAAGCTCATCATAAGCGTCGGGGGGGCGTCACCCCCGCCGATAGCCCCACATCGACCCCCGTCGCTGGCAGCCACCGCGCGCCGAAGGCGCTCCGACCCCCGCCGCGGCGCGACGACGAGGCGAGGTTGACCCCCCGTCGGGGTACCCCCCCACGCTTATCAAGAAACCCAGGGTAATGTGGGCCCAACGCCGTCGAGGACCATGAGCCGTGAGGACGTCGCTTGCCGACTTTCTCGGTGAGTGACGGGTGCCTGCAGGAAGCCTTATACCTCCATGCTACCAAATTGCTAGCCATGACTCTGTCTGCCCGTTATATGCCCTCTTGCGTTGCATATAAGTCCTACTGTCATCAAACCGCAACTGGCAAATATATCGCATCGTACCAATTCAACCCAATATTCCGAACAATTGCAGCATATGTGTCGTCTCGTTTTTTTTCTGATTCTGATGGATTCCCGAGCCCTGCATATCCCCTCAATGAGGGAAGATAGCCCCAAGAGGGGCACAGAAGAGCCACAAGACGGTCCCGAAGATTCTCAAGAACACACGAGCGCGCCCCAATAATCCCTCAAGAACACACGAGAGCGCCCCAATAACTCCTCTCGGGCACTGGAGGGGAGTACTTAAGGACCCACTGTTTCTTGATCGATGACCTCCAGAGCGGCTCCGAAAGGGCCCGAGAGGCCCCGAGGAGGCCCCAAGAGAGTCACAAGAGGGCATCACGGGCTCCCCGAAGGGACTCAAAAAAGGCCCAAGATGGCTCCACGAGGCCTCCACGAGGTCCCGAGAGGTTCCCGAAGTTGCCACTGCTGGGGGGGGGAGGGGCTGAGCCGCCAAGTAAAAAAAGCCCTGCTCCAAGTGATCGGGACAGTAGGAAGGACGGGGGGGGGGGGGGGGGGGCAAACTGCAATCGCAACCCAGCCCAGAAGGGGGCGTGTCACCAGTGGGCACATCCAAAGGACAGCAGCCTGCTTGTTTTTCTTGGCCAGCCGATTCGCACGGTATGCGCGGGAGGGGGGGAACTGACGATCCGCTTTGCATATCAGTACGCCCTAAGCACAGCAAGAAACCATGGGGGGAGGCAAGAAGAGCCGTCAAGGCAACCCGCCATGGCGCCGACAGACGTGCGGTTGAAGGGGGCACGTCGGGGCTGCTGCGCTGTATTGTTAAACCCCCCGTTGGAGCAGCCGATCGAATGCCCGACGACGGCACTGTTGTATGCCTTCACCTTCTGAGTTGAGAGCTGTGTACTCATGTGTATTATGCGCGAGAGTGATTTTAAGACAGGTTCGGCCCGGTGAGCGCCGATCTAGCGCCTGTCAGTGTCCCTAATTAGCCCCCCGCTGGCGCCTATCAGTGTCTACTGGCGCCGATGAGCGCTTCTTCAAGACAACGGATCGGCAGCAATAAGCGCTGATACCCGGGAAAGACGTATGCTCCAAAATACTCTCACGCAAGACACGCAAAGACATCCATAAGGGCATCTGTGGCTCGCTCTGCTTCCGCCTCCCCAGCCGGACTCGTCGCCTGCAAGGCCAGGCGGTGCCTGCGCCGTGGTTCGGCAGTGGTCCTGGCACAGCTGAGCCGAGCTTACGTTGCTCGTGCCGGTCTGCGCCTCGCTGGCCGCGATCGCCACCTGCGACCGCTGGCTTGCCAGCGGGGGCCTCGGGCGTGCGCCGTTCGGCCCGCTCTCGTGGCGAGCTGCGCCTCGCTTTGAGAGAGCCCGCCCGTGGATCGCTCCCAGGCGGGGGGCCCTTCAGCTACCCGCCCCCGCCTTGGACCTCCCCAGCGCGAGGCCCCTCCCGCCTCCCCCCCTTTTTGTTCCGCCCCTCGGAAGCTACCTCCCCCTCCCCCCTTTCGCGCTCCAGAAGCTACCCCCCCCGCCTCCCCCCTTGCCAAAGGGGCGGGGGGGGAGCTTAGCTACCCCCCCCCCGCCCCTTGAACCATCCCTGCCGGAAGCCCCCCCTCCTCCCGCATGTTTTCCGCCCCTCGGAAGCTACCTCCCCCTCCCCCCTTTCGCGCTCCGGAAGCTACCCCCCCTTTCCAGAGGGGGGGCTTAGCTACCCCTCCCTCTCCCGTTGAACCCCTGCTGCCGGAAGCCCCCCACCCCCCCC